CCACTTCCTGTAAGTTAGGCATCTTCATGCTCGTAAACATTTGGGGACCAACTGCAAGCCTGAGCTCTAAGAGAGGGGCACTGCGGCTTTGAAGCGCTCCCACATGTCTCAAAGCCAAGCTGAGAACTAGAGGGACACTTGGTTTTTAAACTTTAACAGCCTTTTGAACTCAAATCATTGGGCTCGGCTTCCTGGCTGCCTTCCTTTTCTAAAGCCGGACAAGAAGAGCGAGTATGTGTAAGTGAGAGAGAATGTATGTATGACACATGCTATGTTACAATGCAGCGTGTGTGTCATTGGTATGATATGTGTATGATATGTTTCAGTGGGTTGCATCAGTTTAAAAATAGTACAAGTCTTCCTTCTGGTGACACAGTTCACCGCCCCAACACTTGACATACACAGTCAGGGCCTAAACCTTGGGGTGGTGATCCTAGGGGGCTGTGGATGTTTTGGAATGAGGTCAGTGTTTTGACTTCTTAAATAAGGGAAACAAAAACTAAATAAATTTAAGAACCCAAGTTGAACTTCCTCCCCTCCCTAGGAATCAAGATCTTGTAAGTGCCTCCCAGAGGACTTTATAAACCCCTCACAATGTCTGAGGTCTCAGTATTTACCAGACCACCTGTTATCATCACATCTAAGTGTCTTTTTTTTAGCCCTCTCTTCGAACAGGCATTTGTGTTTTATTGAATTATTTATATAGATTTAAGTTTCATTGAGTTCGACATCCACCAACTTAATAAATAACAATTATAATCATTTCCATATAAAGTATGGGGAAACCAAGATTAAATAGCCAAAGAGAGGAATTCAAATTTCTGAAAAGGCTGTGGGGAAGGACATGAGAAGGCAGATCATTTTTAAACCCAGAAAACATTCCCTAATCATACATGGGTGGGAAAAAGGAATAAAATTAAACTAACCAACAGAAGGCAAACTATGGACTGTAGATAATAGGGAAAGAGAGCAAAAGGAAAGGTGTATACTCCAAAGCTCAGCTTTCTCTTCCCTCTTCTCTTCATTTAGGGAAGAGGGTGGGTAGCTTCCACACAACAGAAGGAAGCCAGGGGGCAAATGTTTGTTTCTCTCACCTTTTAGTGGGAGGAGAGGCCACACGGAAAGAGGGGAGGATTCAGGTGGAAATAAAGAGGGCAGTTATAGATAGGAGCACCTTACTAGAGTAAGATGAAAAAGGGCACGTTCGCTTAA